ACACAACTATTGTGGGGTAGGTATGTACCTGCTATCACGTCCAAATGGGTGTTTGTTTTTGTGAGAGCGTTGTGCTTGTTCTTTTTTTTGAAGGTCTGGCCGTGTTTTTTCTTGTTTTATTTTTCAGAAGAGTACCAGAAAAAAAAACAAAATCGAACCCAGGCTCGGCAAAACTCAGTGTGCAGTGAAAATCAGGGTTGGCAAAAACAGGCTCGGAGGTAGTGGTGGTTTTAAATGAACATACTGGTGGTTTAAGCCACAACCACCGTTACCTCTGTCACTCTTGGGAAAAAAAATGGAAAAAGTTGGGAAAACTGGCTAGGAAAGTTTTCATGACCGGCCGGTCAGCCGGGCATGACGCCCGGGGGGGGGTGACGCCCGGGTCACCCGGTCATGGCAAAAAAAAAACAGAAAAGAAAACTGGCGGCGGTTTTTTTCTGCGCTCTCTGAGAGGAGCCCAAATCCGGGCTCTTTTCTTTTTTCGAGTGTTGGCTGTCAAGGGGGGGAAAGGGGAGTGTAAATGAATTTTGAAGGGGTTAAAGGGGTTTAAAGGGGGGTGCCTTAATGTGATATGGTTATTTTCTTTTTTATCTTTAGTTCTGTGAGGAATTCTGATGTGACCCTCAGCCGAAAGTTGTTTGAATTGCAATTCTACACAACATAATATCTGTCTCTTATACACATCTAGATGTGTATAAGAGACAGTTGCAATTCTACGCAACATAATATTTTTCAGATTTTTTTGGATTTGATTTTTTTTTTTTTTTTTTTTTTTTTTTGCGCTGGGGCTGCCCGGGGCCATGCCCGGCCGGTCACCGGGTCGCCAATGCGGGCGTGACATCGGGACCGGGGCGCCCGAGATATCTCCCTAGAAAACTGGCTGTATCTTTTTTCCTATCTTTTTCCCTAATTTTTCGGGGATTGGATGAGGCTCGACAGTTGGGCCTTGTGGGCCCCTTCAAAAAAATAAAAAGAAAAACAGAAGATCATGTCGGGGAAGGCCGTGCACCAAGTTGTGCTCACACCTAAACTCACACCTTCGTATCTAACTGCTGTAGTGGCCAGTTTCGGGTTTTCATTGTTTGTGGTTTTTTTTTTTTTGGTTTTTTTTTTTTGGTTTTCGTGCCTCGCCGGGGAGCCACGCTGCAGTCCACGGGCTGCTAACACTTTGGGCGTCGCCGCACGGGACACGAAACGAAAAACGAAACGAGTGCATCTTCCTGATGAAAGTTTTTAGGTTCATCGGTTTGCTTTAAATAGTAATGAGTATCCTTTGCCACCTTTGGTGGGCAGATGCACTCGTTTCGTTTTCGTTTCGCGTGCCGTGTGGTGAGGTTTGCAGAGTGTATGAACCTGCTTTCCTGCCCTAAGTTCAATTTCAATTTTTTTTTTTTTCCCCTCTTCCTTCTCTCATGGACCTGACAAACCCTCTGCTGTAACCCATCCTAAAAACATTTGAATCAAGTTAAGCCCTCACTGAGGGCATACTCACACAACAACTTTGGGCTAGGTATCTACCAGGCATCACGTCCAAAGGGGTGTTTGTTTGTTTGTTTATTTAAGTTTTTTGGCTGCAAGTGGGTTGTATTTTGAAAGTCTGGCTGTTTTTTTTTTTTTTTTCANTGAGTATCTCGGCGGGTACCGGCCACTAGCCGCTAACTCCATTTGGATCAGCCTGAGGTTCTTCCCTTCGATGATGGAGTCAGGATTGTTCTGCTTATGTGACAGATAAGCCCTCAATTCAGACTCAATGCTCGCAGGGAACCTCAAATTGTTTTCTGATTTCAGTCTGTATACGGGACGCTGGACCCGTTTTCCAGCAGGTAACGCTCCCCACCAATAGATGGAGCCTCTCCCCGATTGGTAGTGGTGTTTGCTCTTATCAGTATCACTACCATCGGCGGGGGTGTTAAAAAAAAAAAAAAAAAAAAAAAAAAAAAAAAAAAAAAAAAAATTAAATTTTTTTTTTTTTTTTTTTTTTTTTTTTTTTTTTTTTTTTTTTTTTTTTTTTTTTTTTTTTTTTTTTTTCGCTCTCCTTTTAAATGAATGGTATTCTCTTTGTGTAATGGCCTGTATCTGTTTCGCCTCCCCACTTAAACCACCAGTACTTTTGCCCAGCCATTCCATCTGTAGACGTGTTGCTAGCTGTGTAGCATCGTGTTCGGGTTTGGTGACCGAACCCGAACGTTCGGGACTGAATGCGAACGAGCGCCGAACTCTCCGAACACAAATATAAAAATATTAACAAAAAAAGAAAACAAAAACGTTCTCCAAAAAATCTGAAAAAACTATATGTTATGTAAAATAATAATACAAACAACTTTTGCCTTGGAGGTATGCTCAAATTCGTAACCAAACTTGAGTAAAACGTTTTTTTTTTTCTTTTTGAATATGTTCGGCCGAACACGTTCGAGTGGCGTTCGGCCGAACACGTTCAGACGTTCGGACAAGCACCGAACATGTTCGGTGTGCTACACAGGTTGCTAGGACTTTTTTGAGGCTGTGCCTACCCGACTGAAATGGATGGCAGCGCCAGGCACATAAATAACAAAAACATGCCTTGCCAACGGTGTTGAATCAGCAATTCATTCGGCAATTCCTACTACCAGTGAGCATCGAGCCAACGGTGACAGCCAATTACATGAAGTCCACACCACACCATTCGTTCAGGAGAACAAACAACCGCATAGAGAGAAGATAAGAGGATGGGGTAAAAATGTCAAGAATGTGAACTCATTATACACACACAGCAAACAGGCTAACGTCGGGCTTGATGACTTCCCCATAGGTATGCCGATTACCTGGCGCAGCAATACCTTTGACACACTAATAAACGTGTGCCGCAAATCAAAATCGACAAAACTCATAAGGGATTCGAAAGAGCATTCCAACCAGCCTTCCTGCTTATTACCGAATCTAATTTTTGCCCCTTTTCCCCTTTTCTTCACCATCATCCCCCTTGCACCCTCGCGACACCAAAAATCACAAATCCACCTAACCGCTTCCATGACAGAACTGTGCGATAAATTACAAAACATTTCTTTCACATCGAAACTTGCCCCCACGATCCCTTCCCCCTTCTTCACGTCCTTGTCAATCCTTCGGACCTCATCGGCCAAATTCAAAGTGCTTCTTAAATTGAAGTTAGTTCGTCTCGGTAGACTCCATACCATCTGATTCACCATAGCCGACACCCGCTTGTTGGCAACAACTGCATGTTCAGAATGGGATGGACAGATCGGTCGCCAATGCTGCACATCCTTGTGGTTAGGAATTGCGTATGCTTTACCGATTTCCCCTTTACTGTTTCATACGCCTAGCTGCTGAAAATCTCCCACTTTGTATTGCCCTTCCATCTCTCAGACAACGCTTATCTTCTCCCTACCGCACCTGCTAAAGCCTATGCTTTCTGTGAACAACTTCCTCATTCCCCCGGCATATTCAACTGGACAACAAACTAGTGTGTCCCCGGGATTGTGGTCTATTGGGCAGCACACCAACCCCTTGAGCCTATCTTTCCACTCATACGCGTGCCACTCTTCTATTCTGATTCTCCCCTGATTATTCTTAATCAAACATTCCCCAAGGGTCCTAATAACCTCCTCCTCCCATTTTACCGTCAGCAGCTCGCTTTTTTCAAAAGATTTCTCTATCTGTTTACGCAGGTCTCCCAACATAGTACCGCGGTTCGGACGTAAAATATTTTTTGAATTCCGCAGCCAGCTCGGCACTCCTTCCACATCTGCCAGCCCGACGCACGTATGGCCATTTACTCTCGGCAGCCATTCAAACCCGTTCGCGCATGTACAGCCTGGTACATGTAAGCTCCTCTTTCTTTGCCTCCATACGGAAGTTATGCAACACATCACCCACCGTTCTATGTTTCATTTACACAACCCTCATGCGGCTGATTAACATGCTTTTCCAAACATCTGCCACATTCATACTCATTAACAATTTGGCACACACCAGCTTAACCCCACCTTTGTTGTTGTCGTCATCGTAATTCACACGCACTATCAACCTTTGTCGGATATTGACGCCAAATCACCACCTCACCACTCCCGACAGTATTACCCGCAATTGAAGTCTCGTCATTTTTTCTTGAAATCCTCTGATGGCGCCAAAGGCACAAACCAGCCAATCAAAATCCCTCGTGCTTAACTCGCTCCTACTTCTTGGATTCCACAACAGTTGTGCCAGCAGTTCCTTCAACTTTTCCGTGCGTGAACAAAAACCCGTAATCGTTTAAAAAAACATCGAAACATTCTCTCGGAACCATCCCTTTGCATCTCGCAAATTCGCTCGTCCATAAACCAAAGCGACCACGGAGCCACCATAGCACCTTTTAACCAGCTTCCACCCTCCGACCCAGATATCGCCTCCCCTACATCATACCTGTACCGATCTTACCTTTTGTCTCCTAAAGCTATCGAGAACATCCTTAAGTTTAACGGATATTTGTCCCGTGGACGCTTGAAAACACAGATGTGTTTGCCCTTCACTACACATCGCACCCTTGCCTCCCTGACTCCTTCTTTTCCGTAACCTCTCCCTCTTCCCTGGTCGTCTTTTTCCTGTCTTCCCCCGCCTGCTTTTCGTGTTCAACGATGCGTCACTAAACCGAATCAAAGTTTTCTCCAATTCCAACAAATCCATTTCCTCACACTCACAAATTGGCAACGGAACATACCCCTCTATCCCTACCTTCCTCAGCCATTGATATAACTTATGGTTCCTTGCATCTATCAAATCTTGCTTTCCCCTTTCGACCCTACTGATATGCTCTGACCAACGCACATCCAACGCCCTTGTGGTCAAACCTACTTATATATCCCTGCACCATGGCGAAATGAGCATATAAACCAGCGGACCCTCCGATCTCACCAGGTCCTGCTTCCGACCCAAAACATTCGCTAAGTAACCTCGGAATTTTTGTCCCCACGGCAACGCTCCCGAAAATATCAGCAAAATAACCAATAACTGGAGCATCCTACATAGTGTTGTGTTACGTACGTCACAGACACGTTCACCTTTAATCTGTGCCGCTAGCCTCCATAGCGCCGCGTCTGAGTACCGTCATTAACAGTCCGACCGCACCTCATGTACCTCCGCAACATCTTCACTTGTCCCCTCCTCTTCCACTTCTTCCTGATCCGGTTTCTCCCTAGTCACATACCTCCTTGCTGAGTAAAAACTACCGAACGCATCATTAACCCGCCGCTCCACAACTTCATCCACCGTAACCTCGATTTTCTTGTACGTGAGCCCCATTTTTTCGCAAATATCCATCAACTGCGCCTTGTTCTTCTTACCCGATTCCTTTCTTTGCTCCTTGATAAATTGATGTCGGTCATTGATTTCCTTCTCGTTATTCAAAACTCTCCCTGGCGTTGCTTTACACTTGCTTTTCTTCGCACCTTGCTCATTCTGCTTCTCTGCGGCCTGCTCCAGACGCACACGGAGGTTGCTCACTGGAGTTCCGGCTACCTTGCTCGCACTGGCCAGGCGTTCAGCCCTTTCCTTTTGCTTAATCGCTTCCGCCAGAGCATCCACCTTCATTTTCTTCAAGATATCGACTTTGTCCAGGGTAGCCTGATATTTGGCCCGCAAATCCTCTAATTCCCTTATGCTACTGGTTCCACCCAAATGCTCCTGAACAATCCTTGCTCTCGTCCGTCCTTGGTTGCCCTCGGTCGTGGTTATTCCTTGCAGCGCAACCTGCCCTCGTTTATTGCCCGGCTGTAGGGCTTCTCCCTTCCAGATCAGCATTTCCTGATTGGCCTTCTCCGTTCGCTGCCTTAGCTGTTCATTTTCGAGTGCTAGTAGCTCGAGCCTTTTTTCTAGGCCACTCCTCCCTAACTCTGCTTCCCGCCGAAACTCGTTCATCTCATGCCTCAATCTCACTACCTGATCATTCACCCCTATTGTTGCTTCCGCAATTTCCGTATATCTCTGCTGGCAACATGTACCCCTGGTCCTTAAATCCGCGCCGACCGGCGTCCTTAACAATTCTCCTTCCCGTCTACGTAAATCCTCCAACGGTCTTCTCGCCAGTTCCCCTTCCGTCTCTCTCTGCATCACAGCCTTCCCTTGACTTGTTGATGCCGTCTGCAACTGCTCCACCTACCTTTTCAGTCTCTCAATCTCGCCTTCTTCCTCCTTCTTTCCAAAATACACCTCATACATATTCTTGAATCTTGCCTCCATTTGGGCTCCTATAGCCTCTTCCAACTCCTTTCGTTCCTTCTCCCGTGTAACCTTACTCTCTTCTTCTTCACGCTTCTTGTTAACCTGTTCCTCCTTTTCCTGCTGCTGCCGGTCAAGTGAGTCCAGCCGTCCCACGATCGTTTCAATTTTTTCAACCCTCTCCCCCATTCTCGGGTAGTAGTTGTTTGACCTTGGTGCTTGGTACTGCATCGGCTGGACCTGCCCTCTTGTGCCGACCGGTGCTGGTAATGCCAATACCGGTTGTGCCGGCTGCACGTTAGCCACCGCTCCTGAGTAATTATTCCCTTCTCCGCCATGCGCACGGTTGGGGCATTCCCTTCGGATGTGCCCAGTCATACCACATGCGTAACATGCTGGTACGAAACCCGACATTCTGGCCTACGAAAGAAAGTGAAAGAAAGAGGAAAAGAAAGAGGAAAAGAAAGAGTAGAAGGACAGAAAGACAACACACAAGCAACGAAACGTGGGTTTTGACCACCGTAGCCACACTGAACGTAATACTATCTCTACGTATGTTCCTGCGACAAGCGATGAGGGTTATTCCTCAAATTTCCACAGTATCATCACCGATGCAAAACGAAGAAGAACAAACAAAGAAGAAGAAAGAGAAGAAAGTAGGCTTGAGATTTTTGGACAGGGTTTTGACAAAGTGCCCGGACGCGGGGCGGTGTTGACGAATGCTGTTTCAAAATAGTTACTTTGCGATTCCTATTTAGTCAGGTCTTAGTGCATGATGTCAGTCAAGCGACGCAAGACCGCTGATGAAGCAAGTACGACGACCGACCGAAACATGTAGGGTCGCACGCCGATACTTTTACAGCCATAGCTTCAGTTCTATTGAATTTCGAAATGGTTGTTGTCGCGTTTGGGTAATTACGAATAACTTTTGATGACTTATCGTGCGGGTTGTTTCTCTTTGTCCGTTTACTCCTCTTTCTTCTCTTTCTTCTTCTTTGTCTGTTCTTCTTGGTTTTGCATCGGTGATGATACTGTGGAAATTTGAGGAATAACCCCCCTTGTTTTTAACTATCTGAATACCTGCACAGTTTATGCCCGGAAACAACTGAGGGCAATTTTTTTATTTTTTATTTATTTTTTTTGTTGTAAAAACAGCCTGAGGAAGTAGTAGTGGTGCTGGTAAGAGCAGACACCACTACTACTTCTCAGGGCGGCTCCATCTAAACAGCTGAGGACAATCAATGCTGGCAGGTCCTTCTTGTAAAGGGACGCTGAACCTGTTTTCCAGCAGGTGATGCTGGCCACCAGTAGAATGGAGCGACCAGGAAGCCAGCTAGGGTGGGTGCTCTCATCGCATCTCCCAGTGAGGGGACTGGTTTTCAAAAAAAGAAGAAATGAAAACTTATGTTCTGTTTAAATTGGAGAACTTACGCCGGAGGCCCCCCTAAGGATCTTGGGAGCAGCAGTGACGGCGAGAGGTAAGCCAGACACTAACGACGACTGGATAAAAACCCCGGCGCAAGCCAAGATGACAAAATGGGACGATAAGCACACATCAATTTTTGGGCGGGCCCTTGTAATAAATAATGTGGTACTGGCGTCCCTATGGTACAAGTCAGTACTGTGGCCTCTAAGTAAGCAGGGGTTGAGAGCCTTCAAGCGACAATTAGCAGCCTTTTTGTGGAGAGGGAACAGCCAAGTAGCGCATGCGATCTGCCGAATAGTTTGGGATTCGGTCATCCAACCCAAAGCAGGAGGAGGGCTTGGGATTATCTGCCGAATAGTTTGATCCCGACACCCGATTCCAGGCTTTGAGTTTACATTGGGTGCAGACGCTGATTTTCTCTCCCTCCTTCCCCTGGGCCCCCCTAGCCATGATGCAGATAGGGGCCCTGGCCCCGGAAGCCCCCCCCGAGATCAACCCATTGATTTGGCTAGAGGACAGACATTGGAAAATACCGAGGAAACACAAAAACGGGGACCCGGTGGAACAATTTTGGCCGCGCGTTTTGAGGACGTGGAGGAAACTTCCAATCCCTTGCAAGTCGGCACCGAGCAGGTGAGAGGAGGTCTATAGACAACCCCTATTCGGGAATAGGTGGATCACGGACTCTCACGGACGGGTGAGACGCAGCTCAGACTCCCCATGGAAGGGATGGGTAAAGCATGGGCTATTGCGCGTGGGGGATCTGTGGGACACAGAGACAAGGGATTGGAAGAGCCCGGATAGAATGAGGAGGTGGCTGAAGTACTGCCACCTAGCTCAAGCGGCCTTAGAAGACATGATCGAGAGCTTCCCCCTAGCATGGTATACCATTCTGAAGAGAGGACCCGGGTTGGAGGAAGGGGACTGGGTAGGCCTGCCTGAAGAGAAAGACCAAGTTGGACGGGTACATTTGGTGGGTCGGGACACGGTACTGATCGAGAAGTTTGAGATAGGAAGGAGGGGCGGATTAAGTAGCAGCAAAACCCCCTTTTGGTGGAAAGAAAAAAAAGCAGTCTACCGCATTAGGGTGCTAGAAGTGGACAGAGAGTGGCAGGTCTACAAACCAGTGACCCCAATCTCAGACCTGCCCTTCGACCCGGATGAATGGAGATGGGGTCCAACGAACCAGCCTAACCATCCTAATCCTAGAAACCAGAGAACAGTGAACCTCGCCCACCTGAAGACAAAGACAGCGTACAAAATGCTAAGAACCAAAAGGAAACTGCGGGACGTGGTAGAGGACAGGTGGCAACGTCAACTAAATGTGGACAGAGGCCTGCTGAGGCCGATCAGATGGTTCAAAGACTACAAACTAAAACCCGCAAAGATCACCTCTCTGCAATGGCAGATATCCCACCGCTGTCTCCCAACCAATGACTGGCTGATCGACCACACGAGGTTGGAACAGCAAGGGAGAGCGCTGCCATGGTGTCAAAGATGCCTAAAAAATTTCCCATCTCATAAATGGGCGGAGACACTGGAGCATATCTTTATGCAATGCCCCTCATCGATACTGCTATGGCGTTGGTGGGACAGGGTCTGGCGACAGGCGGTACCAGACATACCCTGGCCGTGGGACTGGAGGGCAATTTTGGTAGGACACTACCCCCGCTCCCAAGAGAGCACCTTCGTGGAGAACTTTTTCCGCATTAGCAGGAGAGCAGTCCTCTGGGTGATATGGTGGAGGAGGTGCATCCTGGAAAGAGAAGGAGCCAGGGTTGAGGAAGGGGAGGTGACAGAACAACTCAAACTCTTGGTGCAAAGTGAGATCACAGCCCAGTGGCAGGCGACAAAGGCGAAACTGGATACTGTTCATTCGTGGGGAGACGCTGACCGGATTATCTCCCGTTTTGGGGAGAACTGGCTGGGAGGAAAGCGAAAAGGCTGGATAGCGGAGGTACGATGGTCAGAAGATGAGAGGAGGGAGCATCGGGGGGAAGAACAGAATGCACAAGACACACAAGACGACCTGCCTAGAGACTACCGCCTGGTATACCGGGACTGGACAGAGATTGACCGAAGGATCCCGCTTAGGCCTGCGCAGGAGTTTGGAGACCCTTTTCCCCCCCACCATCTAGCCTTGGTTGAGAGACTGAGAGACAAGAGAATGGAGTTTTGAGCCCTCTCTTTATTTTCTCCTTTTTTCTTATTTTCTTATTTTCTTCCTATTCTTTTTCCTTTTTCTCCTTCTTTCTCTCTTCTTCTTATTTTCCTTTTATTTTCTGTACTTCACATTCTACTACTACTCCTTTGCTTCAGCGATATCTCAGGTTTTTTCTGAGTGGGACGCTGAGCCCAGGTCTCAGCGCTTTCAGGCTTCAGACACAGCTTCAGACATTCTCAAAGGATAGTGGGGTAGTGTGATCTGGAAGAATGGAAGGTGGGCTGGGGAACAGACAGGAACCACTGGTGCCCCCCAGTGGCCCTGCAGGGCCCCAGCCCAGGGGGTTGGCAAGTACAGGATAGTTAACAATGGGACACTGGACCCGGTTTCCAGCACGCAACCTTTTTCCTTACGATCCTTTTCCAGATGTAACGGGACGCTGGACCCGGTTTCCAGCAGGTGCTGCTCCCCACCAATAGATGGAGCCTGCCTGGGGATGCTAGAGGTGACTGCCTGTACCAGCACCTCTAGCATCACCCAGGGTGTTAAAAAAAAAAAGAATGAAATACGGCTTAGTCAATGAACAAATAAGTGGTGTACCAGCAGTTAAACAACGATTTTTTCCTTTCATCTTTGTCACTTTTAAATAAAAAAGAAAAGAAAAAGAAGAACAAGCTGGCAACTTCATCAGGGGCCAAGTCCCGCTAGCGTAGCGTTTCCTCAGCGCCTGTATCTGGCCATGTTTGTGGAGATGTGCGGCTGAGGAAACTCCACGCGCTGTTCTGCACATCTCCACAAGCACGTCCACATTCAGGTGTCCAGGAAACTGGAAGCTGTCAGTGGGAGTTGGCCCCAGGTCCTTTTTGTTCCCTCTTTGTTTTCTTTCCTTTTTTTGTTAAACCACCAGTACTTGGCCCAGCTATCGATGCGGAGCCTGGAATGCTCCTGCGCGCCAATTTTCACCGAAGCGTTTTGAATTTTTTTTAGCTGCTGCTTCCAGCCATTGCGGTCCGGTACCCCGAAGCCCTAAAGGCGTGGCGCGTTAATGGGAAAGCGCCGCGGCCGATAGCTGGGCCAAGTACTGGTGGTTTAATTTTGCTGGGCCTCTCAGCTCAAAGCCAGCAATCTCCCTTGTTTTTCAGAAAAAAGTTAATCCTCCTCATTTTCTGTGCTTCCCTGCATCTTGCCCTCCCCCCCCATTCCCTGTCAGTGGTAGAGCAGCAAGCCTGTGTCAGACATTCACAGAGGAAGATGTACTCAGCTTGCAGTGGGTGAAAAAAAAAAAAARTARAAGWCACTCAGCTTGMAAAAAAAAAAAAAAAAAAAAAAAAAAAAAAAAAAGAGCACTGTTGGCCAAAAAGTCTGACCAGATTTTACAAGTACTGGGCCCTGATCTGCCTTCTGGCATCAGAGTTAAAAAATGGAGAGTACCAGCCAGTTGCGCAGGCGTTGCCGCCCTCGTAGTGGAAGACAAAGACAGACACTTTGTGGATACAAGAGATATGGTAGAGGTCATAGTCCTGTTCCAAAAAGCGAGGCAAGGAAAGGAGAGGGCAGTCTACTTTTTTTTTTTTTTTTTTTTTTTTTGAGTTCAGGCCCTTTGTGCAAGACCTCTATCCTGGTGGTGGTAAGAGAACCACCGGGATTGAGGCTGTCTACTACGGGCAGTCTGATACATTCTGAGTTGCAGCACTGCTCCTGGAATGGAAGGACCAAGAGGAGAAAGGGAGCTGTACTCCGTCATGCCATCAACCTCCCAACCTACCACTCTGGTAATTTCTCCCCGACGCACTCCTCCCGCTATCCTACCTTGGTGTCTACCACTCAGGATGGTCACCCTCCGGTCTGGGGGTGACCTGACCCTGCTTTTTTTTTTTTTTTTTTTTTTTTTTTTGTAATTTGGACCATTTCTCGATTTATGCGTGT